AATTAGTTTAACCTTTGTGGTGTCTTGCTCACAGTTGGTACTCAGCAAAAGTCAGTTCCTTTTTCTTTGGTAAGATCTTTTTTGAAAAGCTATTTCTAGATTTGATAATGTTATATCTGAATAATTTTCTTTAGGTTTCATAATAGTCTCCACAGAAGAGTAGGAGACATCAAAGAGAATTGTTGTCTTTTAGAATAGTGAACACAAAATGAATTCATTAGGGAGAGATGGAGACAAATTTAAAAGTTCCCCAAATAATTTTTTTTTTCAAATGTTTGCTTGACTACTCTGGGTAAAATGCTGTGACTTGTTAGGGTGCCATTATATGCTAAGAAAATGCTTTATTGAAAGTGGGAGTTTTATGAGCATTTTGTTTTAATGTAAGATACTTAGTAACATTAAGATGACTCAGAGAAAAAATGTCAACCATGTGGCTAGGGAACTCTGCCTGTCCCCTGCCTTTTTTTCTATTCTAAGCTTTTATTTTTTCTTTAATTTTTTTTAATGTTTATTTATTTTTAAGATGGGGTGGGGGGGAGGGGAGGCTCAGAGAGATAGAAGGAGGCACAGAATCCAAAGCAGGCTCCAGGCTCAGCTGTCAGCACAGACCCCAACTTGGGGCTCGAACTCACAAACTGTGAGATTGTGACTCGAGCCAAAGTCGGACACTTAACCAACTGAGACACCCAGGTGCTCCTCTAAGCGTTTATTATATACTGAGTATATCTGATGCTATGCTATTAACTATCATTATTCATGAGAAGATTAATTTTAAGTTTATTATTTATTTTCAGAGAGAGAGAGTGTGCATGAGTGGGGAAAGGGCAGAGAGGGAAAGAGAGAATCCCAAACAGGCTCCGCAGTCTCAGCATGCAGCCCGAAGCGGGACTCAAACTCAAGAACCATGAGATCATGACCTGAACCAAGAGTCAGACTCTTAATTGATGGAGCCACCCAGACAACCCATGGAGTACTTAATATTTTAAATTTTGCAAGTAATATCCTCTGCAAGCCTGATTGTAAATACTTTGGGTGTATTTGGCTCTTTGTCCTTGTTAAAAACAAGCTAACATCAGTGTATAAAAGCACTTATGAAATGTGGATGTGTCTAGTGAGTTGTGAAGAATAGACATTTCAGGAGTAACAAAGGCTATGAAAATGGTTTTTGTTACATTATGTTATAATAACAATATGTTACAAAGTTCTTCTGAGGTTTAGAAATAATTCCATATATTTAGTTGCTTTGTGGCTTTTCTTCTGGTAATTGTAGTACTCGATGCAAAACAATTGGGGAAACAGTAAAGTACAAATAAAAATACCCAAATAAAAAATCATCCTAAACCTGGAAACCAAAGAAAATCACACCTTTTCAGTGTATGGCACTGTTGTTTTTTTTCCATCTGTGTGTCTGTGTATATTTACAAATTATCTTACAAAAATTATATAATGTTGGGTTTATTCTTTTTACTTTGAAAATTACTGACAGTATTTTCTTAGGTCAGTTGTATTTGATAGAAAAAAAAACCAACACGAAGATCTTGATGAGTATTTGTGTGCTTTTTAGGTTAGTAAGAGTTGGAGTGAAAGGATTGGCTGAAGAAACAATTAGAGAGCTTAATTTCACTTGCAATGTGCAGAAGGACTTTAAAGATCAGGGATGGGGTCATCCATTTGATTGGAACTGTTGATGTGATCACTGCCTTAGCAGCTCTCAGAAGAATTTTCCCCAGTGGGTTTGAGTTCTCTTTCAGAATAGTGCTGCAAGGCTTAAGGAGAAAGAGGAGATGGAGACTTTCTAAGACGAACATAAAGTGGAATCACCTGACACATGTAGTTCAGTAAATATATTGGTTGTAACGGTGGTGTAATCTTAGTGTGCCAGAATTTGGAAGGAACCACTGGCTCTATCCAGCTTTTTGAGAGAGAGACAGAGAGACAGACAGCATGAGCAGGGGAGGAACAGAGAGAAAGGGAGACACAGAATCCAAAGTCAGCTCCAGACTCTGAGCTGTCAGCACAGAGCCTGATGGGAGGTTCGAACCCGTGAACCGCGAGATCATGACCTGAGCCAAAGTAAGACACTTAATCGACTGAGCCACCCATGTGCCCCACTGGCCTACCTAACTCTTAAACACCAGCTTTAGAGATAAGGAACTTACTTATCAAAGTTGTATAACTAATTATAATTAGTATGAGAGATGTAGGTAATATGGCAGTTGATTACTGTTAAAAATATGAAATTTATGACTTCTCTTATTTTCTCTATTTTTGCTTTGTGTTTTTCATGTCTGCAGTTTGTCTTTCTTAGTTTTCTACTCATCTCTGTATATTCCCATCTTTTACTTTTTTCATTTCTCTTCAGTTAGCCATTATGTAGAATTAATATATATTTTAAAATTAATGTATATTTTTAAATCTTTATCAAATAATTTTATCTTCTGTTTCAGGTTTTGGAAAAAGGATTATGTAACTTTTATGTGTCTCACAACTTACCATTACTAACAGAGCCCCACAACATTTTATCTGCAAAAAGATTTCCAGTCTTGTAATGGGAGAAGAGTATTGGTCAGAGTAGGTTGGATGGGCAAGAATTATCAGGAAAGCCCACAGGGGAGGGACACCTGGATGGCTCAGTCCGTTTAACATCGACTTCAGCTCAGGTCATGATCTCACAGTTGGTGGGTTCCAGCGCCACATTGGGCTCTGTGCTGACAGCTCAGAGCCTGGAGCCTGCTTGCGATTCTGTGTCTCCCTGTCTCTCTGCTCCTCCCCCACTCACACTCTGTCTCTGTCTCTCTCTGTCTCTCAGAAATATATGAACATTAAAAAAAAACTTAAAAAAGAAAAGAAAAGCATGCAGGGGGTGGATTATGATAGAAACACTCACTAAAGTAAGTCATGAATCAACTTGTTCCTCATACTTTTTTTTTTTTTCTAAGCCTGTTGTGGGGCTTGAACTCACGACTTTGAGATCAAGACCTAAGCTGAGTTCAAGAGTCAGAAACTTAACCGACTGAGCTACCCAGGCACCCCTTGTTCCCCTTTGACAATTAAAATATAAATGCTAATGTGTGAGTGCTATTTTAAAAAAGGAAAGATGAATATTAGAACTTTCTTTTTGCGAGAATTTTGTTGAAGACCTAAAGGCAAAGAAAAAGAACAGCTAGAGGAGTATATATCCCAAGATGGAAGCTTTCACTTAAAGTCATCTGAAAAGACTTGAAAGCTAAAGGGTATGGTTATAATTGATCTTCATAATTACCCAGAAAAGAAAGAAATTAGGGAGATTTCTGTGTATTACACTGTCATGGGGAACAGACCGTTTTACTTACAAATTTACGTTCAGGGACTAAATAAAGTAAAAGGGAAAACCTTTTTTCAGAGTCAAATGATAGAATTTACAATAAAGTTGTCTTTAGAATCTATTTGGATTCATGTAAAAGAAAACTCTTGTTGAAGAAAATGTAGGGATGCCTGGATGGCTCAGTCAGTTAAGCAACTCTTGATTTCAGCTCAGGTCATAATCTTACGGTCTCTGGGTTCAAGCCCCATATTGGGCTCTGGGCTGACAGTGCAGAGCCTGCTTGGGATTCTCTGCTTTTTTTCTCTCTCTCTGCCCCTCCCCAGCTTGTGCACACTCCAGCTCTTGCTCGTGCTCTCTCTCTCAAAAATAAGTAAACAAACATATTTTTAAAAAGGTAAGAAAATGTTATTATATGACATAATAAGAAGTCCAGAGGTAGATTCCATTGTTAGTCAATTCAGTGATGCAGTTTCTTTTTCTCTCTCTGCATTGTCATCATTAGAGAATTGACTTCATTCTCCTGCCTCTATAGATTGGCTGTAGCAGTTATGTATATTGCGTACAGATAGGAAAGTTTCCAGAGGAATAGAAGCAGATTTTTCTTTTCGGTATGTCTGTTTAGAAGCAAAGGGAACATTGGACACATTAGCCAGAATTGAGTTCCACACCATTCCTAAACTAACCTTTGTTGATGGGCATGGGATTAGGTTTTGATAATTATTTGGGATGAAATGGATATATATGTGGGTAGTTCAGTCTTCATAATCACTATGGCAACTAGTGTAACAACCCTTAAGAAGTAGATTAAGAATTTATCGATGAAATAATAAATTCAGAAATAAAACAGTGAAACATAAATCTCTGTCCACCACTAAATGCTGCATGATTTTAGTGAGGTTCATTCATTTCTGTAAACACACATCTCCCTATGTGTAAAAATGGAGATGATAATGCCTCGTTCATAAGGTGTTTTAATTTTTTTTAATGTTTATTTTTTAGAGCGAGAGAGACAGAGTGATGGGGGGGAGGGCAGAGGGAGGGGGAGACACAGATCCAAAGCAGGCCCCAGGCTCTGAGCTGTCAGCACAGAGCCCGACACGGGGCTCAAACCCACGAATTGCAAGATCATGACCTGAGCCGAAGTCGGACACTTAACTGACTGAGCCACCCAAGTGCCCCTGTAAAGTTGATTTTAGAATTAAATCATATTTAGTCTGTCTTAACTAAGACAGAATGAATTTTAACACTTCATAAGTATTTGGTAAATATGTAACCCTACCATTACTGGTACTTTTATCTCTGTAGTTTTGTACTTAAAGAAAATGATGTAAAAATGGAATTTTCACTTTAAATATGAATTTTCACTTTGTTTTTCCTGAAGCTATAAGGGCCTGGACCAGAGTTGTTGCGGTGCAACGTTTCTTCTGTGGTCTTTTCTTAGTAGCGACCAAAACAGGGAAAGCAGTAAATTGAGTATGAGCTGCCACTAAAAGAGTTTGTTTACATGGTTGTGTCAACTAGTACCGTACTATTTATATTTGAGATAACGTGAGAACTGAAGTGACACATTTTATGGAAGTGTGCTATTCTTAGTGTATTCGTAATTTCCCTTAATGAAGGCTTTTTTTTTTTTCACTACAATAAAAAGCGTAAGCCGGTTAATGTAAAATTCTCTCTCGTTCTTTGATATTTGCAGATGGTTTATTCAATCAATATATCAGTCAACAAGAATATAAGCCACGATGGAGTCAAATCATTCCCAAAAGCACCAAGGGTAAGCCCTGTTTTCTAGATTGTGAGTCTTGCTGTCATGTCTCAGCTTCACTCTTCTCAAGTTATCCAATGCTTTGCAAAGGAAAAGCAGGTGTTTAAAACAAGACCTAGGTACCTTAACTAGATGAGTTAGTTTATTATATTTTTCTCTTGAATCTTTTTGTTTCACCACTAAAACAGAAGGCTGAGCGGTTTTCACACAGAATACCCTCATAAACTGCCTTTATAGAGGTACTGTAAAATTATGGGCATATGTATTGTAATGCTAGACATGTTCCTGATAAACCTTCGATTCTGCAGAATTGCTTGCTGAAGCTAACAGGGCTTATGAGAAAAGTAGGAATGGGGCCTACCAGTCTAAATCCATGGAACATTTTAAGCGTATATTAATGAAAACTAGTGTAGTAACCCTAATAAAAATAAAAACTAGTACAGTTAACTCTTCACAGGCACTTATATTGAGCATCACAGTGACTTTGGAGCCTTAAACCCTTGGACTCTTGCTTCCGTCTTTGAGCTGTTGACCCTAGAGGGTATTTATCAAAACTTTATCAAAATCTGATCCAGGACGTACTTTTCATTAATCCATTTTGTCCTACAGGGGGAAATATTTGTCACTTCTTGTTCTTGACTCCCTGCTTTGCCAGATGGTTAACATAGTGGAAAGTGCAGCAATTGGTTAGTGCAGTTACTTGCATTAAGGAAAGACAGTTCTATGGATATTTAACGTTTTCCTACAGACTTCATAAATTGCTAAACCCTTTTCTTTAATTGTGAGAAAGCTCTCCCCTGATGGTGTTAAACATTAATATACTGGGGGCGCCTGGGTGGCGCAGTCGGTTAAGCGGCCGACTTCAGCCAGGTCACGATCTCGCGGTCCGTGAGTTTGAGCCCCGTGTCAGGCTCTGGGCTGATGGCTCAGAGCCTGGAGCCTGTTTCCGATTCTGTGTCTCCCTCTCTCTCTGCCCCTCCCCCGTTCAAGCTCTGTCTCTCTCTGTCCCAAAAAAAAAAAAATAAAATAAACGTTAAAAAAAAATAAATAAAATAAACATTAATATACTGGGAAAATTGCTTATGAACCTCCATAATTTCTATTATTCAGACGTCGTTTCTCCTTTATCAGTCATTTTTGAGGTAATTTTCATCAGAGAAACACGTAGCAGACAGATTTTAGTTGTTTATTGGAAAACTAATGGATTAAATATATAAAATGCAAATGTTAGTGTTTTAGTCTATTCTTGAAAATGGCAATCCTGATTGGGGGGGAAGAAGGAAGAAAAGATCAAACTTCAATATGATGAGCTGCAAAATCTTAACTATTGGAAAGGAGAAGGTTTACAGAGAACTTCTGAAGGAATGGTCCTTGAACATAGCAGTAATGGAATGTTTCTGTTTTGCATCTCATTTTCTTTCTGCATATGAGAACTGACATTTCAGTCTTTTTCATGGTACCCCTGTGAAATTAGTAAAATCTTGGATGGTCCCTGTTTTACATAGGAGAAAGCTGATACAGGGAAAATTATTAACCAAAGTAATGTATTTCAATTATTAGGAGAGGTATAAAGAAAATCTTAGGTTTTTTGGTTTACATTAAGTAAGACATTAGAATCCTACAACCCTACTGAACCACTGAAATGAAGTTATATCTTCATTAATACAAGATTTGGTATAAAGTAAGATTTGATATAAGTTGAACAGTAGTTCTACAGAAGTTTTAAAGTTTCCTTGATTATATTTCAAACTTCCCATTAAGCTCTGTGATGGAAATAGGAATCAAAAGGAAGTAAATCTGGGTGCCTGGGTGGCGCAGTCGGTTAAGCGTCCGACTTCAGCCAGGTCACGATCTCGCGGTCCGTGAGTTCGAGCCCCGCATCGGGCTCTGGGCTGACAGCTCGGAGCCTGGAACCTGCTTCCGATTCTGTGTCTCCCTCTCTCTCTGCCCCTCCCCCGTTCATGCTCTGTCTCTCTCTGTCTCAAAAATAAATAAACGTTAAAAAAATATTAAAAAAAAAACAAAAACAAAAGGAAGTAAATCTTAACACTTCTCAGTCAGTACTCAAAATATTTGGTAAACTATGTGGTAATATAAATTAATATGAAACGATAACATCTTGGTTTTCAGTAGCTAGCTGTATGAACTTTGAAATTCATTATACTAAGTTAGGTATGCCTGGTACAGAGACCTGTAACTGCTTTCCACCTTTACTGTGTCACTCCAGTACTTTAGAGTTTATTGTCTTATGCTTTTGTGGAATATCCTCTGTTCTTGCTGATTTATGGCACTGGTCATAAATACATTGAAAATAGTTTCCTGTTGCATTAATAGCCTGAAAGAAAGCAGGAAAAGGAGCAAGGTAATTACTGTAAACACAGTTACACTCTTCTTTTGAGTCTTTTTACTGGTTCTTAATATTGAATGAGTAAATGTATTATTTACACTACTCGTTACAGACTTACGAAGTTAGTCTAGATTTACAGTTATTCTGTGTTATTCTTTTAAAATAAAATATTGTTTCTTCTTCAGGTGATGGAGAAGATAACCGACCAGGAATGAGAGGGGGCCATCAGATGGTTATTGATGTTCAAACAGGTGAGGAATACTTGCAATGGAAAGCAAATTCGTTTAAAAATTACACATTTAAAAGTATCAGGTAAGCACGAAGGTACTTTTTCCCATCCATTGCAGAGGTTAAATGTTATCGACCATAACCAAGTTGCAAAGAAAATAGACATTAGCCATAGCTTTAATATAGACAAGGTAGCGACATAGGAGAGAGGAGAGGCTGCTGCACAGAGAACATTAGATAAACTAAAAGAAACGTGTAGCCCTTTGTAGCTCTGTGTGTGTGTGTGTGTGTGTGTGTGTGTGTGTGTGTGTGTGATTGTCTATGTTTTTGATTTTCATAGCAAATTGTTGGAGTATTTCTTCTGGCTTTTCAGTGCATTCATATTTTCATGCCATAATATGGGCATTATTGCAATAAAAGAGAATTAAGATCTTTTTTGAGAGAAAGAATATCAGGGTAAGTAGCTTAAGTGTTGGTAGACCCACTAATTGCTTAACATTGTTCACAAGCCTATAAATAATTCGTTTTAGTTATTCTTCTTCGCTGCCTTTTAAATTTTATTCTGTACCTTGGTACTGAAAATTTTCCCTAGGTTTCTACAGCCTAGGACAGCTTAGGTACCATTGTATTTAGAGGTTAATGCTAAAATTATAGTAGATTTCAAATTACCATCTGGAAAAGCAAATAATACCAAGAAGTCAGTGTAATTTTACTTTATTGTTTGGTTTTAGAAAACTTTACTTCAGGGAGTGCCAATATCGATCCACGTAATAAATTAGTTTTACTTTTGCAGTTCTGTTGTTGTGTTAAGCTGATTCATAGTGCTTCAGGAATAATTTGTTGATTCACGTCATAAAACAATTAAGTACAAAAGTTATCACAGCATAGGTAATAATCTTCTAGGCATTAATGTATTTTCACAAATGTTTTATGAGTAACAAAGAAATGATAACATTTCTCTTAAAATTAACTGCTAGATTTGTATAGTAACCTGTGAGCTGGTTTAGGAGTATTATTGGGGTCTCTGGAAAAGGTTCATTTCAAGGCTTAGGAACTTGCTTTCCTAATCCTAGTCTCTCTCCCCAAATCTCTTCCCTCCTACAGGTACAAGTTTGACTCAGCTGTGGAATCTTAAGTATCTTTTTTTCTACCTGAGCATCCAATAAATATACATATGCTTATTTCTTAACCACATGTAACTTTTACACGTATATTCTTTTCTGCCACCATTCTCTGTCCTATTTATGAATGGGCTTTATGGGGGCCCGGGATACTCTTGAAACGATTTTTAGTGTTTTTGTCTGTCTTTGTGGAGTTTACTGCGAAGATCCGTTACCATATATATATATGTATATGTGTGTGTGTGTGTGTGTGTGTGTGTATATATACATATATATACACACACACACATATGTATATTTTTTTTAATGTTTATTTATTTTTGAAAGACAGAGACAGAGCGTGAGTGGGGGAAGGGCAGAGAGAGAGGAAGACACAGAATCTGAAGAGGCTCCAGGCTGTGAGCTGTCAGCACAGAGCCCAATGTGGGGCTGGAACCCACGAACCATGAGATCATGACCTGAGCCAAAGCCGGACGTTTAACTGACTGAGCCACTCAGGCACCCCGCATTACCATATTTTTTAAGGGTTAATACTTATATTAATTTTTGACATTCTATGGTAAATAGTGTTGAACTGAGTAGTCACAATTTCAAATAAAATTCATTACTTATTCTTAAGTGGTATTCATATTTGAAATAATAGTGTTACAAAGTAAACCGTTACCCACCCCTCCCCTCTCCTTGTATTTTTCCCAGATTATTTGTTGCTAAATCTGGGGTGTATGAAGAAGAGAGTAGTAGGTGATAAAATTAGAGAGGTAATGAGGGGCCAGATTGTGTTCAGTCTTTTAGGCCTTTGTTAGCACTTTACCTTTATTCACAGTGAGATGGGAAGGCATTGTTGGACTTTAAGAAGTGTGATGAAATGGGGCACCTGGGTGGCTCAGTCTGCTGAACGTCCAACTTTGGCTCAGGTCACGATGTCACGGTTCGTGAGTTCGAGCCCCTCATCAGGCTCTCGGCTGTCAGGGCAGATCCTGCTTCAGATCCTCTGTCTACCTTTTTCTCTGCCCCTCCCCACTTCAAGCATGCTTGTTCTCCCTCTCTCTTATCAAAAATAAAAATAAACGTTAAAAAAAAAGTGTGATGAACTGACTTTACATTTTAACAAGACAAATTGGATTAAGGGCAGAAGCAGAGAGACCTTTTAGGAAGCAGTTGGCTTACTGGAGAATGATAATAGCATTGGCTTACGCCAAAGTGGTAACAGTAATGTTGAGAATTGGTGGAATTTTGGATGTATTTGAAGGTGTCAGTTGACATTATTTGCTGATGGATTGGATGTGAGGTGTGAGAGAAAGCAGTGAAGGATGACTGAAGGTTGTGACTTGAGCAATTGGAAAAATAGTGTAGCCATTCCCTAGATGAGTAAAACAAGAGGATCAAATATGGTAGATTGTTCAGCAACTCAGGTTTAGTCAGGTTAAGTTTGAGATGCCAGTTAGACATCCAAGTAGGTCTGTCAAATACGTAGTTAGATATATTAGTTTGAGGTTCAGTAGACAGGTCTGGGCAGAATAATCATTTCCCTCTGTGTATTTACACAGCACATTTTTCATACTATTATTTTTACTACGATTTCCGTATTGTTTTAGAGGTGCTTGAATGTGTGGTATGTATCCCCTGCCTCTCTATGCAGTTTCCCCATCTCTGTCCGCCAGTCTTAGTGGTCTTACTGAGAGGGGAATGGCAGACCTCTTGCCTTGGTTAATTTTATGGCCACAAAGCCTGGTCTGGAGGACACGTACACTAAATATTCATTGAATTGAATCAAAATTTTAAAATCCATTTTCCTTCAAGTAGAAAGAAAAATATTTACTTGGAAACTATACTCTGACATTGCTGTAATCCTTGATGAGTAGATTGTGTTATAATGTCATTTATTATAACAGACTAATATTTTTGTGAGGTGAATTTATGTTGTTATATTCTAATATATTTAACTTTTCTGGTGATTCTGCTTATTCTTGAACATAGACTATGCTTCCTTAAAGCTGTAGTTATCATTAGTTTAGGATCAATGTAGAAAAATTAAATGTTATGTAGAGCTTCGCATTCTTTAGGGCAACATTTGGTGCTTTCTGAATTTAATTTGGGTACAAACCAGAATCTGGGATGTTTTTGGGTTTGTTCTTTATAAATCTTTCTATTTCTGTTATAAAACTATTAATAGCATGATTTACCAAAGTGTTTTCATATACTTTTTTATTTCATAATATATGTACCAGAGCCCTCTTTTTTTTTTTTTTTTTAATTTTTTTTTTCAACATTTATTTATTTTTGGGACAGAGAGAGACAGAGCATGAACAGGGGAGGGGCAGAGAGAGAGGGAGACACAGAATCGGAAACAGGCTCCAGGCTCTGAGCCATCAGCCCAGAGCCTGACGCGGGGCTCGAACTCACGGAGCACGAGATCGTGACCTGGCTGAAGTCAGATGCTTAACCGACTGCGCCACCCAGGCGCCCCCCCAGAGCCCTCTTATAACTGCTACCATGAGGTTGACCTTAATCATCCTCGAAAAGATTATATTTATTGCAGATCTTTGAAAGAACTTTTTCTAGTCCAGTCTTATTGACATAGCAACCAAGTATAGGCTGAGGTTTGAGTTTGTGAGAAAGGGGTGTATGTGTTAGACATACCTGGGTTTGAATCCTGACTTTTTCTTTGAACGTGAATGAGTTGTAATGATGATAAAAATAGGAATAATAAATTGTTGGGAGAATTAAATAATATATATAATGTATATATTATTTATACAGTATGTATTTTTATGTGCAACATAGTAATATACAATATATACTGATTGGTTCTGATGAGAGAATTCTATGCAAGCCTAGAGACCTTTCTTTTTGTTTGTGTTTTTGACAGAATTTTACAGTAGAAATATTTTAAAACAACTAAAACCTTTTGAAAAATAATTTAAAACAACTTGAAAGGCAGTCTTAAGGAAAAAAATAATAACTTACCCATAATCCCACGTTCTAACTAACCAATGTTATTTCAGTATAATTTGTTTCATCTTTTATTTTTTTTTAATTTTTTTTTTTAACGTTTATTTATTTTTGAGACAGAGAGGGCATGAACGGAGGAGGGTCAGAGAGAGGGAGACACAGAATCTGAAACAGGCTCCAGGCTGTGAGCTGTCAGCACAGAGCCCGACGCGGGGCTCGAACTCACGGACCGTGAGATCATGACCTGAGCCGAAGCCGGACGCTCAACCGACTGAGCCACCCAGGCGCCCCTTGTTTCATCTTTTATATACATTGTCATGGATGTTTTAGAAAGGAAGGGAAATCATAAATACACTTCTAAGATTTTTAGAAAATTTAAGAATTTTGCTCATAAGGATTAAGTAGGTTTAGTAGGAAAGGATGACTTTCCCCAAATAGTTTAAAGAACCTAGAAGTTTTACGTTTATAAAGTTGATGCCAAAGTAGTAAAATGTAGTTTAGAGGCACCCAGTCACTGTTTCAAGTATGCATTTTAAAGATCTCCAGGGCAAGAGCTCTTTACCTGGTGAAGATATATACAAAATTTTGTCTGTATGTACATTTTTCTGAGAGAATCCATGAATTCAGGTCATCAAAAGCCTCTTTTTTTTTTTTTTAAGTTTATATATTTATTTTCAGAGAAAGAGAGGGAGAGGAAATTCCAAGCAGGCTCCTCTCTGTCAGTAGAGAGACTGACGTGGGGCTTGATCTCACAAACCATGGCATCATGACCTGAGCCAAAATCAAGAACCAGATGCTTGACCAACTGAGCCACCCAGGTGCCCCCAGATTATCAAAAGAACCTTAACTCAAAAAGTTAAGAACACCTTCACTACAGTAAAACTTCATAAAGTTCATTTCAACTTCCTTAAAGTGGCTTGTATTTCAAAGCAATTATTGCTTCCCAGTGT